TTGATAGTAGGTGTTCAGTCCCTCAACCTTGATAGTAGGTGTTCAGTCCCTCAACCTTGATAGTAGGTGTTCAATCCCTCAACCTTGATAGTAGGCGTTCAGTCCCTCAACCTTGATAGTAGGCGTTCAGTCCCTCAACCTTGATAGTAGGTGTTCAGTCCCTCAACCTTGATAGTAGGTGTTCAGTCCCTCAACCTTGATAGTAGGCGTTCAGTCCCTCAACCTTGATAGTAGGTGTTCAGTCCCTCAACCTTGATAGTAGGTGTTCAGTCCCTCAACCTTGATAGTAGGTGTTCAGTCCCTCAACCTTGATAGTAGGTGTTCAGTCCCTCAACCTTGATAGGTTTTCTAGCCTTGATAGGTGTTTTAGCCTTGATAGGTGTTCTAGCCTTGATAGGTGTTCTAGCCTTGATAGGTGTTCTAGCCTTGATAGGTGTTCTAACCTTGATAGATTTTCTAGCCTTGATAGGTGTTTTAGCCTTGATAGGTGTTCTAGCCTTGATAGGTGTTCTAGCCTTGATAGGTGTTCTATCCTTGATAGGTGTTCTAACCTTGATAGGTGTTCTAGCCTTGATAGGTGTTCTAGCCTTGATAAAAGGTGCTCTAGGCTTGATAGGTGTTCTAGCCTTGATAGGTGTTCTAGCCTTGATAGAAGGTGTTCTAGGCTTGATAGGTGTTCTAGGCTTGATAGAAAGTGTTCTAGCCTTGATAGAAAGTGTTCTAGGTTTGATAGGTGTTCTAGCCTTGATAGAAGGTGCTCTAGGCTTGATAGAAGGTGTTCTAGCCTTGATAGAAAGTGTTCTAGGTTTGATAGGTGTTCTAGCCTTGATAGAAGGTGCTCTAGGCTTAATAGGTGTTCTAGCCTTGATAGAAGGTGCTCTAGGCTTGATAGAAAGTGTTCTAGGTTTGATAGGTGTTCTAGCCTTGATAGGTGTTCTAGCCTTGATAGAAGGTGTTCTAGCCTTGATAGAAGGTGTTCTAGACTTGATAGGTGTTCTAGGCTTGATAGGTGTTCTAGCCTTGATAGGTGTTCTAGCCTTGATAGAAGGTGTTCTAGGCTTGATAGGTGTTCTAGCCTTGATAGAAGTGTTCTAGCCTTGATAGAAGTGTTC